TGGGAAAAGAGACACTGGGGCAGCATGCAGCCACCTAGTTTGTGACTCAGCGAGCAAAGGAGGGATGGACGGACCCGGCTGCAGCAGAAGCAGAAGGAGGGGAGCCAGAGGGCCAGCCGAGGCACACATGCGAGCCCCTTCCCCTGGCCAGGTGGCTGGGCCAGGAGGCTGCTGGGGGGTGGCCGCAGTGAGCTGCACCAAGGAGAGAGACAGAGCCACCAGGTGGGCGCTGCTGTTGCTTGCCGTCCTACCTCTCCCTCCCCCTCCCCCTGTCCAGCTCTGGTGCTGCCTCACCTACTGGTCCCTGGAGACAAGGCGAGCTGGCGGTGCTGGGCAAGCTGTCTCGTGTCACCTGGCCACAGCTGCCCCTGAGCGATCAAGTGAGTGGCCGGGCTCCGGGGCTGTGGGCATCTCGCTAGGGAAGTCAGGGTAGTGGGGGGGGCTTGTGGGGGGGGAGTTTTCTCCGAGCCCAGGCCACGCTTTGGAGCCATCAGGGTGGCTGTGGGATCCTCTCTGGGAAGGTTGGAGGTGGGGATGTGTGGCAGAGCGGGGTGAGTAAGCTGTCCCCCAAAAGGGGAAGCTTCGCCAGCCTGAGGAGTCTGTTACATGCCCCCTTCCTCTGCTCCTGTCGGGAGTTTCAGAATCCCCTTACCCTCATCTGTGTGATGGACTGGAAAAGAGAGATACAGAGTTTTTTTCTAGAAACCCTGGGAGAGAGAAAAACAAGAACAAAAAAGCATGGCAGAAAACCAACCCTCCTCTTCAGAAATAAAGCAATGATATTTTCCCCTCCTTTGCTCTCGGCAGCGGGGCTTCTGAGCTCTGGAAGGCTTTAAAAACAAGCCTGTGTCTGGATCTCTGCTTGCAAAAAGCATGCTACTGCTCAGAAGCAGGGACTGGCTGGGGGGGGGAGAGATCCACCCACTCCCTCCCCCCTCCTCTGCTCCAGGCTTCTGAAGGGTGTGTGTGGAAAGAAAGTGAACATTTTCTTTTTCTCCTCCATTGAAGGCAGGGTTTGGAAACAGAGCAAAACAAACGTCTCTCCCTCCCAGGTCCAGAACAATGTTAGAGTCCAGTGGCACCTTTAAGACCAACAAAGTTTTATTCAAGGCGTGAGCTGTCATGTGCACTCATTCTTCGTCAGACAATGAAATGGAATTACAATCAGATCATAGTTGTATCCAGAGGAAGCATTTTCAAACACATGCAAAGGTCTATGTCTGTTAGTG